TCAGCAGGAGTTGTGGCATGCAAGGATCTCTGCAAGTGTGAAATGAAAAAAATCAAAACACAAACTAACCACGTGAACTATATTTAAAAGGCAACAAGGCTGAAGAAATCAACCTGAACTAGTTGAAAACATCCCTACTCATTGCAGTGAAGTGGGACTAGATGACCTTTAAAAGGCCCCTTCCAAACTAAAGTATTCTATGAGTTTATGAAATAGTACTTTCTCCCTAATTAGGCATCTGACATAGAGCATACCTCATAAGTGAGACTAAGTGAGACTGAACAAAAGCATCCCAAATTATGTCTGAAAGACAGCAGTAGGTAACATATCAAATATTTTTCAAATTACAGTATTTGTTGTAACCTAAAATACATTGTGTCTCCTCCATTATTACATACAGCTGGCAACTGGCATTTCCCCTAACATTCTTCATGCAGTGTTTCACAACACTCTACAAGCAATTGAATTCAAGCTTCCACTTGAAATACATGTTTTGTGTTGTAAATAGGGGAGGAAAAAAGCAACCAACCCAACACACCAGGTAAAAGGAAATGTTTTGCTCTAAGCTATTTAAGGAATTTACAGTGAGATTAAAGTCCTAGTTTTGTTCTTCAGTTTTCCGTAGCAAGGTTGTTTTCATACAGGTTGGAAAATTATTTTTTCCATGTTCAGATAGATATTTGAAAATAAGGAAAATTCTAGACCACAATGGAAAAGAAGAGCCCATCACTAGCTGTGCTTACAAACATCTAGATGTCTTAGAAACATGGAGATGACACTTGTGCGTATGAGCCTATGTCCAACTGATTTTTGGCAACATTCAGTCTTACTTGAAATTCTTTAATTTCAACACATCTGTGAAGTAACTCCAGTATAAAGCATTTGCTACACATTCCATACACACAAATTGCTCCCTTTTATTTGCACACTGTCATAAAAAGTAGATTTCTGTAAGCTAAGTACCTGGTAGAGAGCTTCTGTCTCTTCCTTGCTGCTTGTGCCTTCACTCCATTCTACCCAGAGGGTCCATAATGGCAAGGTGCCCTAATAAGGTAAGCAGATAAATCAAAATATTGAGATACAGTGACTCTGATTCACAGAAACAGACTGCAACACATCCACCATGTTCTGTATTACAGCTGCCATTAAAAACTGTCCTTTAAACATAGCTCTTAGAAAGACAACATTGTTCCTGAATGCAGTGCACATGTGAAATGTCAAGTTCTTATTTCTGACCTTAAAAATGGTCAGAGGCTCAGAATGCCTTGCAAAGGAAAAAAAGCTCTCAAATAAATACCAGGTTTCCAGCCCAAGACTAATGCATGCAAGTCCACCAAACCAGCACAGACCTTTGACTTCACTTGCTTAACGGCTTCTTCAAAACACTGGCTGACACTGTCACTCTTCAGCTGGATCAGCATCTGCAGCCTCATCTGCCACATTTCCACTGACAGGCTGAACTGCTCAGTTGCAGCTTCTGCCACCTCTGTAGCCTTCTCCAAGAGGTTGAACTCCAGTAACAGCTGAAGCTAAAACCCAACATACACAGCTAATCACCACCAGATTTGTAACACCTTGTTAGAAAAGCAAAAACTCAAAATGGTGAAGATGGAGGTGAAGCAGTGTGGAACAGCCTCACAATCAAATTTTCTGTGTCAACTCTTACCCACTGCTTGTAGAGAACTTCTGGCAGCAGTCTGGACTCGTGGACTTTGTTGAACACGTTCAGTGTCCTCTCCAGCCTCTAAGAACAACACAGAAGAAAATGTAAAGAAAATAAGCATTATTCCTGCATATACCAGATGACAGCATGACAAGAAGCCCAGTAAATTAGTGTATCAACATGTCACTCAACTTCATTTGGAATTACATTATCTAATGCTTTAGGTACCTGCATGCAATTCAAGATAAAGGGGAAATCTGAGCATTTAAATTACACTTCCTCCTTAAGGAACAAACGAGAACAAATAGCATTTTTTTTTACTGTATTAAAAGAGAACCAACTGCACAGGATGATTAGTTAATTCACTGAGTCACACTCAAGCTTAGATGCACCATTAAGGTGCCCACAATAGGCTTTTACCTTTTGCTTTAATTCTTCACTGTTGGTTTTCCTGTTATATCTCTCTAAGCAAAAAGTGATGTAGCACTTCCACATGTCCTCTGCAGAATCAAAGGCAGAAGATCACATGTATAGAAACAGAAGAATATACACAAATATTTAAGAAATCCAAGAAAGAAAATCCAAGCACTAACAGGTAAAGCCAACTTTGATTTTAAATATTGTATTATAAAGGAGGCCCTACATTTTTAACATTGACACTTAAAAAGAGCTTCCCAGCATAAGCTGCAGCCAATAGCTCTTTCTAAAGAGCATCAAGCTCTCAGCTGAGCCGTCAGCACATGCTGTCACAATTGATGCTCAGTGCACCCTTTGCCTGTAGTTTTCAACAGGGCTGCAAGTGGAAGGACACTAAAAGGCAGTCAAGGAAATCCTTCCCTCCAAAGTCTATAAAAGCAGCAAGTTTGAGTCCACTCCACAGGCAGACCTTTGGGAGCCTCCTGAGAGCAAGGACAATGCCAGAGGTGGAAGCTGGATATCCACTCCACCACCAACTCAAGAACATTGCTTACTCACAGCTAACCAGCAACATACTCAAGTTCTACAGATTTCCTTTATTTAGCAAATTTTTTCATTTACAGCTCCCAAACCTCTATTCATCTGTGTGCTTCAATTCACCTGATTGTTTAAATCACAATAATAAAAGCAAACAAGCAAAGAAAAGCACCTTCAGTTAAGTGGCTCTTCCAGTGCACAAATGCACTGAAAAACAACCAAAGAAACTCAATTGCAAAAAAGGTAGCATCTAAAAACTCTCAGCTACAGTAGAGCCTGCCAACACCTACTTCAGAACTTTCACAGTACGCTAAAATACCAGTGAAAAAAATGATCTTTAAATGCAAGCAGTACTTTTCACCTGTTGGGACAGCTCTCACAGCCTCTTCAAAGACTGCACAGCATCGTTCCTCTCTCTGGGTCATTTCAGACACTTTCATCCGTTTCGTGGTGTGTTCTGAGGACTGCAGGGACCCCAGCTCCAGCTCACGACGGGCCATGTAGTCCCACATAAGGGGATCATCAGCATACTTGGCCTGCAAACTAAACACACCATGTCTGTAACACCCCTCAACTGCCATTCTTCTCCCATAAGCACATTCAGAAGGGTTATTATATTGGTATAGTAATGTACTTAATTTCTAGAGTAACCCAGAGCCAGAGAAAACACATTTTACCTTTCCACAAGAGGAAGACAAAATATTTGTCTATTTTGGGTTATTATTTAACTTGGATATTCTCCAGGGACAGAAAATTTTCAAGAGAGATCTTTCTTTTGAGAGACGAGGAACTGGAGAAATTAAAAGATGGAAACCCCCAAGTACACAGGAAAATCCACAGTTCCTAAAGTAAATTTACAGAAACTAAGTGTTGTCATATTCAGAGACAACTTTACTTCAATTAAACTTTTCTTAGCAGCTTCTCAAAACTTCTTCTGAAGTTAAGATACAGGTAACCTTTTCTAAAAAGCTTTTTTGCCTTGTGTTTAGATTTCCTTAAAGGATTTCCCACAGCCTTAAGACTGTTTCCCTAAACAGCCTTTAGTTGCTAATCTGTTAACTCACTATCCATCATGGGAGTATGTTTCTTAAAAACAAAACAAACAAAAAACCCAAAGCCACACCTCACCTTTCCAGAATTTCTTTTTGCATATCTTGGGTAAAATCAAAGAGCTTTGCAATGGAAAGCACAGCCAGATGGAACTCAACACCTACATTTCAAAAAGAGTGAAGAAAAATATCAAGTGGAGTAATTGCATCCATGGCATACTTTGCATTTCTGTATCTTTGCAAGCTTTTGTCTAGACACAGGTAACATTTAACTGCCTAAGTAACAGATACCCTTTTTTTTTTCTCTAAATCTCAGTGCTGAACCCATATGATAAGCCCTGTGTTATGATGTTGATGGTCTGACTATATCCTTCACAACTTCATGTTACCAGTTACAAAAAAAAAAGCCAATGGGCAGGACATCTCTGACTGCAAAGTGATTAACTAGTCCTGACATGCTTAGATTCTTCCAGCTTGGTTCTACCTGCAAATTCAATCAGCACTTCCTCTGATCCTTCATCTGACTCTGCCATGAACACAGAATGCTCCACAGCTGAGACAGACCTCTCCAAAGCTGCACAGAGTATTTGTCAATGAACTACATCCATCCATCCTGTACCTCTGTCACTTACCTTTGAGAACATGAAGTGAAACAACTTGGTATAACTAGCTTACCTCAAATCTCTATCAATCATTACTCACATCCTTATTTTTGGGTGCTTACAAATCATTTGTATTTCTATTTATTTCAGTATGCCTCCAGGAGTTCAAAGTAAGCCATCTTTCTGTCATTTCCTCTCATGTCCTTTTTCCCCCTCCAATTTTCAATGCTGTTATTATATTTTCTTCACTGTCTTACAAAATCCCCTTATCTATCATGGTTTCTCAAAGGTATCTGCTACTACTTTGCAGTTATTTTATCCAATTGTCTCAATAAAATGGGTGAATTTTACCAAGCCTAGTTAATTTAAAATCATCTAACCTGTTTCATTCTTAGTCTGAATTCTTACTTCTCTGTCCCTAGCTGTCCCTTCTGTGCCTTGCTGATCTGTTGTGATCTAATGTTCAGTAAGCAACAAAGCAAACAGGTGGGCAATTCTGAACTGTCCTCCCTTTGTTTTTCTAAGCAAAAAAACAAGTCTTGAGACTGTAAACCCAGAACTTCTGTCACTTCAGCCCAAAAGCTGTTGTACTGGAAGAGGTGTCAGCCTACAGAACAGTCATGAAATCAGAACTATCATCACTATCAACTTACACTTTGGCATTATCTAAGTTCTACTCAATAAACAGTATAGTTGGAAATACCTCATGTGTGTCCACTAGCACTAAGTCAATCTGTATTCCCTACTGGAGAGCTGAGTTAAAGATGACAATTTTCCTATTGAATAGGAATAGTACAAGAAATGTTAAATCACCTTTAATTTTCTGAGCAGCTTCCCTGTAGATGATGCGAGCCATTTCCCCATTGAGAATCTCTTCAGAATAACTGAATTCCCCCTGCAATATCAAGTATAACATAACTGAAAAAGTTGGCTTCCTTTCCAAGCAACCACTTTTGCAAAAATGGAAAAAAACATCAGAAGTTATTAATGTTTTTCTTCATCTAAGTCTATCTTTATCTAACTTGAACAAGTCAACTAGAAAGAAATAGAGTCAGTTCCAGAAATTGCTATTAACCTTCAAACCAGAGGATGCAACAGAAAGACTTTACAGATGTAAAGAAAACTCAATGTATGAAGTATTTGAGCTGAGCATCAGTCAACACTTAGAGAGGTTAACACAGGCACAGGGTGTGAATGAAGATTTTCTCTAAGCTGTTCTCAAACAAAGCATTAATACTTGAAACCAGACACTCAAATGTGTGACACACAAGCAGACAGTATCTCAAGTTCAGCTGACCTACCAAGTCCATCTTTGCTTGTTCAAATGCTTTCTTTTCCTTCCTCTGTTTTTCAGCATTCATCAGCTCCATTCTGAAATACTGCAAGAGTGAGAATGGAATGACTGAGTGAGGGTTGGGGATAAACGATAAAACACCTACATCTACAAACATAGTAACAAGCCCTGTCTGATGGGCTACAAATCAGGACTTTGCCAACTTCCAACATATGGTGAGATCCTAGGTTTGTACAGGTTTGTGCATAGAGCTATCTGCCCCACATACTTACTCAGAAATTTTCCACATCTAGAAATTACCACTTTCAGGTAATTCTTTAAACCTTAACTTGCTCTCACAGAAAACCATGTTCCCTAGCCAAGGCTAGGGATGGCAGATCTAATCCAGAGAACTACGACCTATCAGAGCATACAGTACTTTAAAAGGCAATTGACACATTCATCCATAAAGTGTAAAACCCTTGCTTTGCAGACATAAACACAGGATATTTTAAACACCTGAAAAAAACTGCCAATACAAAGGGTTTTTTTTGGTTTTGTTGTGTTGTTTGGTTTTTGTAAAGTAATTTCCCTTCTGATGAGGAATCAAGTTTTTTTCCAGTTTTCTCAGCTTGATACAAGAAATATGCTGGACTGATTTGCTCTAGTTGATGAAATAACTGCTCATAGGAGACAACACGAACTCACTTCTTGGTAAATCTTTGGGCACTCTGGGTGGAAGCGCAAAGCACGGAGGAACAAGTGCCTTGCACTTTCTGACGAGAGCTGGGTCTCCATTTCCCATTTTGCTGCCATAATCCACAGTGCTGCAACAGATGACACAAATAAATTCACTTTAAGGTCAGGAGAACCCATTTTGAAGCTGCTCTCCAGGCTACACAGGTTGGTTTTCTTCAATGTACCCACCCCAACATAACCCATGAGCTCATCAATGGAATAAGACTGATTATCTTCCATTTAAACTGAGTCAAAGGACTAAAAGCTACTTAGCTTTCAGATCCAACAAGTTTAATCTGGTATAGCTACAGATCCAACAATGTCTTCAGTAGCCAAAAAGCAACAACAAGTATTCAACATCTCCTAAGTCTGAAATATTTACCTAGAACCCAGTCTACCCAGGAAATAGTCATTCAGACCATGAGCATTCCCCATCATCTTCTGACTGCTCAGCACAACCTATCAGACCCTTCTCTCTGAAGCAGCAGCAAAGCCAAGCCAATAGGAACTTTTACCCCAATACCTTCAACTGAGATCTCTAGGAACTTAAACCAACACTATATAATTTATACTTAGTCATTTATGCAGCACTTGCAATTGTTTTATTTACCTGGTTTATTGGGATGAATGGCCAACATGGTAGAGAACACTTTACTAAGCTGATGCTTTGCATTCTGTAAAAGAAGAAGCTTTGTTTCACCTACTCTTGTACCAACTGAATCATCAGCACTGAAGTTTCATTAGGAAAGGTTACAAGTTGTAATGCAATTGTACTGGAATAGACATTTCTCTGCTAATGTATCTTCAGTAGAAAGTTTCTTCTGTTTCTTCAATACTGACAAGCTTTCCAATGTTCCCAGACTAGATTAGCATGATTAACTCGGACCTTTCTGAACAACACAGCTAACACACAAACTTTGCCTAAGTGACAAACTGACCACTTCTGAGGTGAAGACTACTTTTTCCTGTGGCCACTTGCTTTACTATGACAAGATCACCTTCAGTACAGGAAGGACAATGACCAAATGCTAATAATAATGTGAAGACTGGCACAGGTAAGTTTAAAAACGACAGAATCACCAGGATTATAGTTTTCAGCACAGCCACTCTAGGAAATGTTGGAAACAAAATCACATTTCACACAGGTGATCCATTCACTCCAGAGAAGGTATAATCAATATTACAGTTCTCCCTAACTCCAGAAACAATGAAATCAACTTCACCTTTGCTACCCACAAGAAGTAAATTTTATACAAGTTCATTCTGAGGCAAATTCTACTCTCACACAAATCAGTGAAAATCCTAGGCAGCTCCAAGAATACTATCATAATGATTTCAGTAATACAGCATGTGGCAGTAAAGTCTGACATTTAATTCAAATTCCAGTTGCCTGGTTGCACACCAAGATAGCATTCCAAATTAGGTACAACTAGTATTTTGAAAACTCACCCACTGCTTGCAAAATGCAACATGTGAAAGCCAAAGCTGGATGTCATCCTGTTGGAAATGCAACAGGGAGAGAATCAACCTTACAATAAGGCAAGCATAAAACCATTTACATATTGACAAGCAAACAAGATGCCCTTGGTGCAACGACATGGCATGCAGGGAAAAGGGATTTTGATTCTCAAATTTGAGTTTCTTTCTTCCCAGATCTTCAAATTCTTCAGGTTCCTGAAAAACATCCCATCTCAAGAAACACCCTTGCAGCTTCTCCAATCACATCTTACAAGGAACTCAGTAGAGAGCTCACTGTAATGGCTCCTTGGCACCTCACTTAGGTTTCACCATCACGTGTATCAAATAACACACTATCAGATAGTTGAGGACTAATGATGCATGTATCAAATAACACTCACACTATCAGATAGTTGAGGACTAATGATGCAGAAAGGGCATAATATTGTGTACAAAACAGTCTATTTGACATGACTGATCCATATCTAGGCTATTGGTAACTCAAAGACCAAATGTACACCTAGTTCTTCTATTACATTCTTATGCATTATTGCAAATACTTGGCAGCAATGATATCTAGATATATTTTACATAGCAAAAGGGCATTTTTCAACTTATCAATACAAACAAACCAACTCACTTTCCACTTTCCTGTAGCACGGTTGAAGAGGCAATGGACTCTATGCAGAATAGAGTTCTCAATTTCATCCTTCTTAAATGAATATCCAATGCGCTGAGAGGACAGAAAGTATTAATTTCACTGTAGTAAAAAATGTGGGATATTTTTTACTCTGAATAATTTACAACTTACTGCTCTTCTTTTCTTGATCAGTTCCAGCAGATTAATTTCATACTAGAATGGAGAGAAAAACACACTTAAAGGCAAATTAAGAGACAGATAATAGTAAGGAAAAACATACAGATCAAGGTTTTTTTATAGCTAATCAGGCACACCATAAAAATTACACCCAGGAAGACAGAAGCAAAGTTTTTCAGCCAGACCACTACACTTGTAAGACTAACTGAAAGCCTGAGTGTTAGCACCGCGCACGGTATTCAGACCTGAGCTGTCAGCATGCTGCCTATTTCTAGAAACAAAAACTTCCAACATAACAAAAAAGTGAAATACACTTCGTTACAGCTTGACAGTACATCAGGGAACAGGGATGCTCCCTGGAGAAAGAAACTACACGAAAAAGACACCAGAGGACTCCCCGGCTCCCGGCCCCGCTCCACGCCCGGTGTGTCATGGAGCGCGTGTGCCCGAGCGGCGCCCCCGGGGAGCAGCGGCCTCCAGAACCTGCCGCTCCCCTCCTGGGAGCCACAAAACCCCTTCCCA